TTCCTGCCTTGCTCTAGGCTCAGGAACTCATCTCTCTTCCTATCCCTCAAAGTCCGGGGTATATACTTCTCCATAAACAAGCTAGAGAATGATGACCAAGTCATAGGTGGTGCATGTGCTGGTTGACACTCAACATACGATCGCCACCACATTTCGGCATTTCCCTGAAACTGATAGGTTACAAACTCAACACCGAATCGTTCCACTATGTCCATCTTATGTAGCAGCTCATGACAATCAACTAGAAAATCATAGGCATCCTCAGATTCAGCACCCTTGAAAACTGGAGGTTTCAACTTCAAGAACTTAGTGAAAAGTTCATGTTGATCGCTTGTCATTATAGGCTCTGTAGTCAACCGAGGAAACGTGCCTATTTCTAATGAGGCATCCATGAGGGGAGCCACAGCAGCTGCATGTTGTACTCCCGGAACCTGAGGTGCTGGTGCAGAAAACAATGGAGGTGTCTGGCCTTGATCAGATAACCCGCTAAGATAAGCAAGAACCTGATTAATCATCTCTGGGGTTGGTTGGGGTGGTAATTCCTCATTCTGCACTTGTTCATTCTCCCCTTCCTCACCCTCTCTTAATACTTCCTCAGTCGGTGGAGGAGTCACCCCCTAGTACTAGCTGGGTCAGGTGTTTGTCCTCTTCCTCTAGAGGACGTCCTCCCGCGACCTCTACCACGGCCTCTTTCCACTACTCCTCTTCGAGCTACAGCCTCAGTGACTGGTTCAGGCGCATCTTGTCTTGCCGGTGTTGGTGCTGGCGCAATTGTTGCTCTAGTTCTAACCATCTGTTAAATAGAGTGAAGATTGTCAGATACCAATTTGTATCACCTAAATACCAATTGGATCCAAGTAATAGCACGAAAGAAAGAAAGAGTAGAATTTTCCTAATGTCTTATAGCCTCTCAAAGAAAAGTAAAGGCGTCCCCCTACCGTTCCTCAAGACTCTACTAGACTCGTTCTTGTGTGATGAGACCAACGAACCTAATGCTCTGATACCAAGTTTGTCACGACCCAAAACGAGCCGCGAGTGGCACCCACAGTTACCCTCCTATGTGAGCGAACCAACCAATCTAAACCCCAACACTTCAACCATAATAAACAAAAAATAATGCGAAAGACTTAAAACTCATTACTATAACCAATAAATAACTTCTAAAATTTAATACTTATTATTCCCAAAATCTGGAAGTCATCACCACAAGAACATTCTATCCTCAAATTACTAAATCTAAGAGTGTCTAGGAAGCTAAATTAAGTAAACAGATGGTCCATGTCCGAACTTCAAAGACATCAAGACATGAACAAGAGAGAATCCAGTCCGAGCTAGGAACAATAGCTCACCCTGAAATCTGACGTGATGAAGACTGGCTAGAGTTGAGGTCGAGTCGAAGTTGATGGCACGTTTGTTGCACTCCACAAATACCAAAGAAGAAAATTACAAGTAGGGGTCAGTACAAGGCACAAGTACTGAGTAGGTATCATCAACCAACTCAAAATAGAAAGCAATATATATCAGATAATAACAAAAAACCAACCAGATACTTAACAGGTGACAACAACAAGTACCATAACCCTTAGCCACAACACCAAGCAAATCTATGAGGACTCAAGCCTCTACACCATACTCATTTGGGAAATAGGTTCTTTGGAATTGAGTATTTTAGCATAATGCAAGATTCATTCGCTTTACTATCCTGGTGTCGAAACGTGACGCACTGATCCCCTCAATATCATTCATCTTACTATCCTGGTGTCGGAACGTGACACACTGATCCCCTCAATATCATTCATCTTACTATCCTGGTGTCGGAACGTGACACTCCGATCCCCTACTATCCTGGTGTCGGAACGTGACACTCTGGATCCCCTACTATCCAGGTGTCAGAACGCGACACTCCGATCCTCTACTATCCTGGTGTCGGAACGTGACACTCCGATCCTCTACTATCCTGGTGGCGGAACGTGACACTCCGATCCTCTACTATTCTGGTGTCGGAACGTGACACTCCGATCCCCTAATCTCATTCTTTTAGATCATCAAGCTTTCTTTTATACCAAGGCATCATCATTAACAAAGTGGATTAAGGTTTAAGATTCACAGCCTCATCTTTCTAATCCATTGCAATTACATAATCACATCATGCAAGCACACAATTAAGCATATAGAAGACTTTACAATACTACCCAATACATATTATTCGTTATTAAGAGTTTACTATGAAATAGCATAAACCATAACCTACCTCCACCGAAGGATCGTGAATCAAGTAATCTACTTCTCTAATGCTTTTGCTTTCCTCTGCGTTCTTCTCTTTCTCCCTCGCTCGTTCTCTCTTCTTTCTCTTTTTAATTTTCTCCTCTTTCAAATTCCCTTGTTTTATCCTAATTACCATATAATTAAGTATAAAAGATGATAAAAGTAACCCACTATTTATTTCAAGGTTATCTCCTTTAACCCCCAAGTAATTGAATTATTAACATTAAACCACTAACTTTATAATCATAAGTAGGAATAGTCCAAAATACCCCTTAAAAACTTTTAACAGAAATCCGACCTAGTCAGGGTTACGCAGCCCGTGACGGCCCATCGTACCTGCGACGGTCCGTCCTGCAGGGTCATCACAGAGTTCAGAGAGTCAAATTCATTAAAGAGCTCTGTGACGGTCCGTCGTGCCTACGACGGTCCGTGCTGCTCTTCCATCGCGAAGTTCAGAGAGTCGATCTCAGTACCCAAATTTCAAGGGTCTAAGTGTTTTGGAACGAGACCCCCTCGACGGTCCGTCGTACCCATGACGGTCCACGACCCAGCCAGCTATTACCAGAAATAAACTCTACTACTCAAAACGACTAAACAGGTCGTTACAGATTCAAAAGAAAAATTCAAGTCTCAAATGAACTTGTTTCTGGAATAGAATAAGATCATAATTAAGGAGAAAGAAAGCATGCTGAGACGACAAACAGCTACCTCACAAAATCTCCAAGAAGCTTAGAAAATGAATAGAATGACACGTGCCATAAAAATTCGGGCTCATAACCTACAAAAATTTGTAGAAGTAAAGGGTGAGTACCAAACCACACGATACTCAGCAAGTAAATCTTAAATACAAGCTTAGGGGATAAAACACGGGTACTCCTACCACCCCACCCGTACCTTCACAACTACAACCTGCATAAAAATCAGCCCGACCTAACAACTAACATATGACATAGCACATAACTCAACAACAACAATTAGACAAATTATATATTCTCCATAACAACACTTTACCAAATTACATATCCTCAATAACAACCCTTCAACAAATTACATATCTTCAACAACAACACTTCAACAAATTACATATCCTCAATAACAAGCTTAATATTCAACAATCAAAAGTTCCGCAGAAAGGCAATCACAACATCAGCAAAACACAATATCAAGTTCACTAATGATAAGTATGTGCAATGCAATGAAATGCAATCTCAAGTATAATGGTGCATGTCTAACCTAGTGATACACATCTGGTGTCTCTAAGTGGGAGACCCATTGGGGACATATTTGTCCATGCATCTGTCGCGGCGCATGACATGACCCTCGATAATATTAACCATCGCGGCGCGCGATACGTCTCTCGAAATATAGTATCAATTGCGGCGCGCGATACATCCCTCGATATGGTACATCTTCCTTAAGTTCTCATTCTTTCTCAATGCACATAAAACTTGTCACCGCCATGTCTTAAAATAATGCAAATGATATTCACACAAATAAAGAGGATATGACCATTTTAAAAACATTGCACAATTCACAACAACATTAACAATGATTCAATATGCCTTCCAAACTATTCTTCATCATCAACACAACACACAAAAGCAATTATTCACATTGTCTTTTATTACCCTTTGTTTTCATCATTATATTTAATCAATGTGGACAAGTCAACCCATCAGCAAGTCCCATTACTCCCACACATATACCACAAGGAAATATACACATTTCATACACTTAACAAGAGTTTAGAAATCCACTTGCCTGAATACAATAAGAATTTATTCTGAGACTTGAGTCTTTCCCATTTGTTGAACTTCTAACTCAAAGCAATCGATTCACATACATAATCGCAATAAGCTTTCAAAACTAACAACACTCATACTGCTATATGTCTAGCGTATACCCAAAAGTTCACTTAAATTTATAATCAAGTTCGTAAATCTTGATACCAATTAACAGTTTAGTTTTTCAATTTTTTCCAATTTTCAAACCTAGAGTTAAGTCATAACTTCTCCAAATATCATAAATTTGACAATATTCAGATCAATCAATATACTCTAATATTTATTATCGTGTCTCAATATTGGAAAACTTGTTTTATGATATAATAAGAAAATAACATAAAAAAAATGAGGACGATGACGGCTTATCTCCCCTACCCCTAAATCATCCAACAAGCACGCATACTCAGTGCACTTCTGATCCATATTTCTTTCTTTTATATATATATATATATATATATATATATATATATATATATATATATATATATATATATATATAATGTCCTCACTTTGTTATCCAAAAACTCCACTAACCAATCAACAATAGCTTACACATATACAATTATTCTTGAACTACCTAATTTTAGGACATTATTATTCTTTTTATTATAAAACCTATGATATCAATTCATGTATATACATATATACAGATCCTAATATGACAAATGTAATCAAAGTAACCTGTAATAATAAGAAATTCTCTAAAATTCCAAATAACTCGCACAGTGCCAACACTAATAGATGGGCAATAGCTTCTACACCCAATATTGATAATCATATCAAGATGCCCTTCATTATATAAATATAATTATAAAAATAGATGTACTTTTATTTTCTTACCCGCAAGACTTTCAGTGCTTTCTTCGTAGTTCACCCCCTCCGGTGTTCTCTTTTTTCTTTTTTTCCCTAAGTAATTAGGTATTAAAATGACAAGCCCTACTACTTATTTATTATATATAGGCCAAACAGTATGGAATTTTAACTAAATTTCAGGCCCATAAAATAATGACTTGATTAATTATTTTACAAGAATACCAATCAATTAAATAATTGTAGTTAATTAAATAGTTCTTAGTTTCAGGTCATTACACATAACATGCTTCTGAAATTGTTGAAAATTTTGTTCTTAAAGAGTTATCTCACTGGCTGCATTTCTTTTGTATTAAGCATTTCGAGAAAAGTAATTGTGACTGATATTGAATTTAACAAGTTAACTGATTCATTAGGGTATTTGAAAAGTGTGAATTAGTTGAATTTTGCTGAAAGTTGAGTCATTATTGAGAAAATTGATTGAAACTACATTATTGGTTTTCCTAATAAGAGATATATACCAGAGTGCATAATATTTAGGACACAAATAAAAAATAATATCCCTTGGAAATGATGGTCAAGGTTTGCCCAGGAGGTGAGAAGAGTTGAGAACAAAGTGGCAAACGGGTGCATAACGCGTGGGAATCTGCCGAACAGTTTGGGCCGAATCCTGAAGAAATCTAAAAAATGAAGGACGAAAAAAATATTGGTATAAGACATTAGAGGGGAGAGAATTGAGGAGTGAATGAAATGAAGAATGAGTTAATGTGTATTCATTTGTGTTATAGACTTGGTTCTAGAAAAATATAATAATTTATTGTTTTTAGAAGAGTAATGTAACTTGTAGAGGAAATTTACCACTTGAAAAAAAACATTTTAATGAAGTTTAAAGATACAATTATAGTTTTTAAAATGAAATATATATGAAATGATCATATTAAGGTAGATTGTCCTCAACTTTTTAAATCAAACACATATTTATATTAATATGTTTGAAATCAAGTAAAAGTACAAATTTGATTATATATTAATAACTACACTTTTATGATCTAGTAAACATTTTTAGTTTAATTTAAATACAAATATATCATCCTATTCATATTTGTAAAGTTACTTTGTCACATCCCTTTTTATTTCTCAAAAACATAATTATGTGTTTTGAAAGGAAAAAAGTTTTTTCAATTAAAGTGACATTTTGAAAAGGGATAATTATTATTCAGAGTCGCCACTTGAAATTGAGTTTGGGTATTCCAAGTCATCTCATTTAAATCGCTAACCAAAAGAAAGTTTGACTCTATTTTTATTGATCTGCGAACTAGAAATTTGGGTAAAGAATTCTGTTGACCGAGGAAAAGATGTTAGGCACTGGTTCTAGCACGATCACTTTATTGACTTTAATATGACTTAACTTAATTTTTGCATATTATATTATCTAATTTAATAATAAAATGTTATTTAACTTTATTTAATTACCTTAAACCTATTAAACATTATCTTATTTATTTTTAATTTCCTTAAAAAGAATATTTCGGTGTATATCCATAAATTTGAAATTTGAAACACTTGTATTTATTTTTCTTTTTTTTAACTTTTGTATGTATATTTGTATATATAAATTTATGAGTATGTATAGGTATCTAATATATAAGAATTAGAGTTTATGTAGAAAAGGAATTTTAGTGTTTGAATAATTTTAGGATTGTATGTTTTTTAAATACATTTGAAATTAGAGATAAATTTTATAGGATTTATGATTAGTATGTAGAAAGAAAATTCTATTTTTTAATGATTATTAATTTTTTTATGCTATACATTTTTAATCATCTTTTGTATATATATTCATTTTATTTATTCATTTTTTATTTTTTCTTTCTTTCTCATCTTAAATTTTTGTAATAAAGTTAAAAAAAATTGTATGACTTTTTATTGTACGTCCCATTTGGGTTTTATATATATACATATATATATATATAATATAATATATATATATATATATATATATATATATATATATATTATTTTTATATTATTTTTTTGATGTTCTGTTAATTTTTTTTATATATGTATATTTTTAAGGTATACAAGTAATATTATATTATTTATTCAAATCGATCTTCAATTATAAGAGGAAATTAAAAGTTACCGTTTTGTGAAAATTAATTTCACCAAAAACAACTGACGTAATCTACCGATTAGTTAAGTTAATAATTGTAAATTAACTTTAAAGAGCCACAAGTCCGAAAACGCAAATAAAACCTCGAATTATAACTTAATTCTTAGGATAAAACTCACTTTTTCACTCTTTTCTCTTTTGCTTTTTTTTTTCTCTGCGTATTTTAATCTATCTCCTTATCTTTATCCCTTTTTTTCTACTAAAAGTATATTATTATAATAGTTTTGGATGAGAATCTTGTGCTAATTGAAAGAAACCGTGACGGAGTGGGATTAGGTTTAGTTTGAAATTTAATTCAGAAACTTAGGGTTGAAATAAGGGAAAGAAAATAAAATAAAAGTAATAATATAGTAATAAAATAAAAGAATAAATTATAAATAAAAAGAATAAATTAAAAAAAAAAGTTGAGGAAACGTGGGTTATTGGAAAAAAATATAAAATGAAATTGTGCACTTTTAAAAAAAGAAAAGAAAATTGAATGGAATGAGTTTTTTTAGGAAAATAGGTTATGCTAAGTTTGAAGGTGATTAGGATAAAAGGATAAGGCAATTTGAAATTTTTAGGATTTTTTTTCTTTTTTTCATATCTTTCCATAATATATTCTATTATTATTATTATTATTATTATTATTATTATTATTATTATTATTATTATTATTATTATTATTATTATTAA